ATCAGAAGTGCAACGTTTATAGGGTTACTCGGAAAAAACTGATACGGTAGACAAACAGTGGGATGGGCTATTCAGTTGGACACCCCAAACCCTAAACCTTGGGTACTGCCCCCACCCAGTAACAGTCTCTATTAGGGGTCCTATGAAGGGCTATATATCACCATACTATAGTCATTATCCAACTGTTACTGAGGGGGGGCAGTACTCAAGGTTTGTGTTACATTAGGGTTTAGGGCTTAGGGTTATATTGGGGTTATACTGGGATAATGGAAATGAAACTGGAAACTACCATTTAAGGTTTAGGGTTTGTGCTACGGAGCTTGAACGGTGTGATACGTACCCTAAAGTAGATAGAGCCTGCCATTTCTCAGAGCTAGAAACTGCATTATCACAAAGCGAATGTATCACGGGCTCATCGGCTCTGTGTCCCTAAACCCTAAACCCTAAACCCCAAGGCGCCCGGGCTATAACGGAAGGCCGGCCTCGGAGTGGTTTCCGGTTTAGGGTGTAGGGTTTAGGGTCCCATAAGGTTTAGGGTTTAGGGGTTTAGGGTTTAGGTTTTAGGGTTTAGGGCTTAGAGTTTAGGGTTTAGGGGTTTAGGGGTTTAGGGTTTAGGGTCCCATGCAAGGCCCACCCAAACAACCTTGGGTTTACCCCAACTTGAGAAAGCCTGCACTGAAGGCGGTAATTACACCAATTATACACCCTAACCCCCATCCCCCACTTTGGGGTTGGAAGGCCGAAAAAAAAAAGAGTTCATCCTCTTCCGCCTCCCCAGACCACCCAACACGCCCGCAAAATTCGGCGAATTCTGATTCATCGCTTTGGCGAAAGTCCTATTCTCAAGAACTAATGTGCACTCAAAGATCCAGTTCCGTCTACCCAAGAATGTTTAGACGATTATGAAGAAGCAGCATTACTTGTTGTTTAAGTTCCTCAACTGCAACCCAGGCTTGGACACAGCAGGCTACATGGAGAATCAGTGCAGTGAGGACACGCTGAACCTGAACTTCTTCGTGGGAAAGCTGGTGGGCACTTCCCAAAAATAGGAGTTAGGGTTTAGGGTCTAGGGCTTCGGGACCCCCATATAGTAGGTGCCGTAGTATAATCTACAACCGCAGGTGGCCAATAATTTTGAGACTCGCGCAGGTGACAGCTGATCATCTGCATGGTGGCAGTTCTTTCTTGATGGAAGCCTACTCCTCCCGAATGCACCAGGTGATCAGTATTTCAAACAGGGATACCATAGTCCCAAGAATAGAGTAGCCACCTTGCAAAACCCTAACACGTGCTATACCCTAAGCCCTAAACCCTTATCCCTATAAACCCTAGATCCCAAACCCCAGACCCTAGGAACCCTAAGCCCTACTAACCCTAGGCCCAAAAACCCTCATGGCTCAACGCCGCCTCAGGTGTCGCACCAGTTGGAGTTCCATGCTAAAGCTGCCTTGGCCTTGCATGACGACGACAATGGCTTGGCGCATCACTTTGTGGATCACCTGCGTCACCAGGACCTGTAAGGATAGAAGCCCTTACAAACGTCCAAGGTGTCATAGGGACATACAGGTTTTAGGGTTCAGGTTCAGGATTTACGGTGTGCAAGGTTTCGAGTCTAGTGCGTCTCACCTACGCCACGAGGACAATGCACGCAGGGCGGCGGCGGGGGAGGATCACACTTTGCACCTGAAGACCACAGTTCATGGGAAGCTGCACGAGGCAGCCCGGTCGAACATCACCGACAAGCAGCGAGCTCGTCTGCACAAGCTTGATGAGAAACACCATGAAGCCATATATGGGGAGAGCAAGGAGTCCATGTGTGCGAACCACGCCGAAAGGTTGCAGACACTACCAGAGGACTCGCCGCTCAAGGGTCCCGTTGTCAAGGACTACGTGGATTGCTTGTGTGACAGCAACGAGCCATCCATTGTGTGCCAGGCTAAGCACGGGCAGGCTGTGAAGAAGGTCACCCAGCACATCGCAGACCATTTCGCCAACGCCGGGCAAATGATGGACGACGAAATCAAGCAAGATATGCAACAGATGGTGGCCAGGTCTGGCATTCCGTCTCAAGCTACTTTTGAGAATGTCTCCCATGTTGGCCTTGCCAGGGAGGATGCAGTTACCATCGGGAAATGCAAGACTTTTGTCTCCTGTAAGTTCTGTGTGGCCGGCGTTTGCTATCAAGCGCCTTTTCCGAAGGACACCTATTCTTATATCAAAGGATTTTTCGGCCGGGCTATTATGACCAAGCCGCCATGCATCAGCGGAGACTGCAGCCTATGCATGGCACTCTATCCACCTCTGGAGCCAGTTCAGTTCAACTTACTGGTGGTCAGAAGGGAATGAGGGAGAATAATCCCTGTATAATCCCTACATATACTATTCCGCCTGATCCCCAATCCCTAATCCATAAACCCTATACATTCACTTATTCAGACGTATTCCCCACAAACCTCCAGTAAGCAAGGAGCCAGTTCAGTTCAAGGTGGAGTTAGGCTTCGGATTTGCCAAGGGCACCAACTCATGCCAAGACGCCTACAAATTCTTCACATCCTTCGCCTTCCATCTAGCCCTCAAGGCCACGACGTAGGCTTGAGGGTCTAGGGCTAAGGGTTTAGGGTTTAGGGTTCCCTCAAGGCCCACGACTTCTGCTCTTTTTAGTATGGCTATTGGTGCTAGTACAGTTTCTGTTTCTATGTTTCAGTACTAATCATCATTCCCTAAACCCCAAACCCCAACCCCTCATATAACCCCCTATATCCCCTCGAAGGGTACCCCTAATTTTGGGAAACCCCAACTCCATCCTGCTTCAGGTTTGCTTTGGGAAACTTCGAAACCCTAAACCCTGTCCTGTTTCAGGGTTGCTTTGGTCTAAACCCTAAACCCCTAAACCCAAAACCCCGAAACCCTTAAACACCTAAACCCCTAAATTCCTAAGCCCTAAACCCCAAACCCCTAAACCTTTAAACACCTAAACCTTTCAGGTGTGCTTTGGTGGGAAGTTCAAAGAAGCTGCGGAGTGGATGGGCGTGTCATGCCTAACCCTGGCCAAGGCTTCATATTTCCCCTTCATTGGCAGGTTGCTGGGTTGTGTTTTGGGGTTTAGGGTTTAGGGTTCCTGGGTTTTGTTTGAGGTTTGGGTTTAGGGTTTAGGGTTCCCCTTGATTGGCAGGTTGCTGGGTTTTGTTTTGGGTTCTACAGGGGGTATATGGGGATATATGGGATTTAGGATTTGGGGTTTAAGGGTTTAAGGGTTCGGGGTTTAGGGTTTAGGATTTATCAGGGTTTAGGGTTTAGATTTCCAGCAAGTTGCTTGGTTGCTGTTCAGGAACTGTAGCGGGAAATATTGAACAGCATGGAAACGGGGTTGCATAGAGGTTATGTGGGATTCAAGAAACTTGTGTTCAGTTAGCACATCATACATAGTTTAGTCATGTGTTCCTTTGCTTTGAAACGCTTTGTTAAGTTCTCCTAAACCCTGGATCCACACCGCAAACCTTGGACCTTACACCCTAACCCGCAAACCCCAGCCCCTAAACCCTACCCTAACCCCAAACCCTAAACTTCAAACCCCAAACCGCAGCCCTACCCTAAACCCCAAACCCTCCCCAAACCCTAAACCTCAAACCCCTATCCTCAAAGCCTAAGCCTCTAAGCCCCTAACCCGAAACCCCTAAACCCTATGTAACCCCCCTATATAACCTTCTTTTAGGAGTTTAGACCCTTAAACCCCAAGCCCTGAACCCCTAAACCCCCGAACCCTGGACGAGCACACAACTGAGGATGGTGCCGGCGGCATTCTCCGTGAACCTGGTCATTGCTCGTGTAAAGCTTCTTGGTGAAACTTTTCATGGAAGCCATTCGGGTTTAGGGTTTAGGGTTCAGTGTTTAGGTTGTAGGGTTTAGGGATTAAGATTTAGGGTTTATGATTTGAAGCTTTTCGTGGAAACTGTTTAAGTATGGGATAGGGGTCGTGGTTTCAGGGTCTAGGGATAGGATGTAGGGCCAAGGGCTTAGGTTGAACCCTACACCCTAAAACCTGAACCTCAAACCCTGAACCCTACACCCTAAATTCCTGCTTTAGGCCATACCCACCCTCTTCGAGGGAGCCTATTATTAGGAAACTGGCATCCTTGTGCTTCTGGGTCTTCTGGGCGTTGCTCTGGGGGCCACCTGCCAGGCTTCCTCCCGGGGGTTGCTTTGGAAGGGCGCGGCCCCCCGAGAGGCGCCCCGAAAAGGGTCGGAGCATCCTACGCCTCGAGGTTGATGAGGCAGGGTCTGAGAGCCCCCCGACAGGCCCCCGAGAGGCTTCCGAGAGATGCCGGAGAGGCGTCCGAGAGGCCCCGCTTGCGGCAAGCCCGTTGTTGGATTCTAGAGAGGAGAAAAAAGTGGGAATTTAGGGCGTCAGCTCAGAACCCTAAGCCTGCGTAAGCAGGGGGTGGGAAGAATAACGCAACACACCAATTCTTGGTTTGTTGGGCATGAGAGATGTGCCATCACCCCTAAAAAGAAAGTCGGGGCGCCATTTCCATATGTCATCTCCAGCCGCCGCGCAGCAGAACGCTAAATCCTAAACCTTAAACCCTAAACCCTGAACCTTGGTACACTTCTCGATTTGCCATGCTAATCTTCTCTTTATCGTTCCAATTTTATCGGATGATCCACAAAGGGAATCCTTCTTTTTGTGAAGGGAAAGGGCGGAAGGGACCCCATCATGCAGATGTGAAAGTCCGTGGGGTTAAAACAACCTTGAACCTTAAACCAAGGATCATAACGCAACCAAGGCTTTCCACACACACTCCGGTGCATGAGCTGAGTGATGCTGTGAAGCAACATTGCGAAAACGCAGACCAGGCCGCCCAAGGGTTGTGGTTTCAGGGTTAAAGCTTAGGATGTAGGGTTGAAGGGTTATGGTGGTTAAGGCCTTAGGGTGGTTTAGGGTTCAGGGTGGTTTATGGTTTGGGTTTAGCTTTTACCCCCCTACCCTTCCCGTCCTATGCAGATGCAAGACGTCTCGGTTGACTTGCTCTAGTTAGCCGTAGCCATCTTCTAATGAACCTGATAACCCTGAGGCCTAAACCATAAGCCCATGACAGGCAAAGCATCGGGCGAAGTGCGATGTCTATGAGGAGCAGAAAAGAAATGCGCAAGGCTTTTTGAAAGCGGTTTGGGCTCTTCTAATGGCTTCAGAGAAGTGCCATATCACGGCCGAAATGATGTGCATGGCCAAGTTCAATAAGGCGCGTGGGACAGGTGGCCTGACGCTGGACATTCAAGCAGGCTTCATGTGGTGGTTCCTTGGTTGTGTGCTTTCTTTTCGTTTATTCTAACTAACACTGGATTCCATTATTGTTTACATGGTTTCTAGTTCCTTTAAAGTTTCATCTATACTGGGTTCCGAGACAGACTAAACAGGATGGTTTTAGTGACGCTTAAAAAGCATTCAAGGTTCGAGACCGTATACAAGAAGACCTGGAAGTGGTAACGGCCACCTTCAGTGACCTTTCCAGCCACCGTTGGAGAGTGTCAATCGAAAAAATTGACCGATCATGTCCGTTACTGTTCAGGAGCTGAGACTTGACTACCAGCATGAGGATATAGATAATGGTTCAGAATATGGCTTCCTTTCAACTGGAACGTACTTCAAATTCCTCAAACCCCTATTTAGCAGTCCAAAACACCATCTTCCATTTCATGTGCAACTTTCTTTGCCATTGGGTTCTCATGATTGTATTTAACCTACATATTTACTTACGTTCCTCAAACAAAGTCCTATATCTTCCCAAAGCCCTAAACCCTGAACACCTCTTTACAGCTCACCACAAGTGAGCGCAACCCAGCCGTTTGGTGTTTCGTAGCAGCTGAGTGTCAAGAACACCCTTGGCTTAGGGTTCAGGGCCACCCGATTCAGGGTTTAGGGCTTTAGGTCTACAATTGACAATGGCTTGCATTTGCCTGATCTACTGTTGCATAGTTGAGCATGTGGGAATGCATCCTCGGAGTGAATCCCTGTAGAGTAAAACGCCCGTATTTTCAGAGCTGCTAGATCCCATCCCCGCGGAATTCGCAAGCATACCAGAGTCTTGTTGCAAAGTTTTCGGGCCTCAAGCGGTCACGAACGACATCAGGCAAACGCACGGGCATGCACCAGTTCATGGCTATTGAAAACAACAAACCCAACTTTGCTCCAGACGTCCTTGACATATGATAATATCGATGATATTAGGAACCACATGATACAAACGTAATCACGCATAATAAAACATGCTACGCATATCAAAGCCTGGAACATCGTGGGGTATCTTGGCAAGTCATGGAACATCGTGGAACGTTGTGACGGTCGTGGAACGTCATTTCTGGGTGGTGGTAGGCCAGCCAGTAAGGCTACGCGTATAGCATCAATAGATTCCGTTTCAACGAAGCAACCATGGCACGGTCCCTCATCTTGCTGTCAAGCTTGTTCGGGGGCTTCGGCAATAAGTTCTTCTCGTTGCCGACCGACCTTGTGCCCGATGGGTGCAGTCTTCCAGTCAACAAGATTCGCCCGGAAATGAGGTTTATGACTGGCAATGCTCGACTCTAGACCTCAACTGGTTTAGGGTTTACAAGGTCAAACCCGCATGTATGTTTGGTACCACCATCGAGCAAGGGAGCATTTAGCATTGGAAGGGTGGGAGTTGTTTTGGTAGTTTCCTAAAATACGGGGACCCCAATATATTCCCCAAAGAATGCTAATCCCTATTATAGGGACACCCAAAAAGGGTACCCCTAATTTTGGGAAACAACCTTTTATTCTCACCTGTATACCCCGAATACGCGTAACATTGCCCTGCACCGGCCCAGGCTCCCTTTGAGCTATAGTCTAAATTCCTGAAAGGGGGATTAGGGTTTAGGGTTAAAGGGGTTATATAGGGAGGTACTATGGGGGCTATTAAGGGGTAGGCGTTTAGACTACAGCTCATGTCATATTCCATGTTCTTTGCTGTTGCTTCTGTATTATGGTAGAATGTTGTGGCACCTACAATTTTAAGCCTTGTATTTCTTTCCATGTCGCAGTGGTGTCCGCAGCCATTCAACCAGCAGCCGCAGCCCCACTTTGCTTGCCAGATTCATCGCATCACTTCCGCCATGTGCGCCGTTGCCTGAGATGTACCGTTGCGAGTTTGACGCGGGGGATTCTTGAACCCGAAGCCTTAACCCCAAACCGTAGTAGTTTCCATTTTCTTTCCATTATCCCAATATAGCCCCAATATTAAAACCCTAAAAAACCCCTATATAACCCATCATAGAAATTTCCATTTTCTTTTCCATTATCCCTATATAACCCCGATATATACCTTGTAAGG